TTATAAAAGGTTAAATAAAACAAAAATGTTGGTGGTAATTTTTGACTGTGTAACTTTACAAACGACACCCCACACTGGTGTACATTCTCTGTCATCCAGGGTATGACATAAAACAAATGTAAAACCATGAAATATCTTAGAAAGTTTCTCATCAAACACCTGGTTACATTTTAAAGCAACAAGCTGGAGATGAAAGCCTCAAACCCAAACTGAGCAACCCTTCAGGACTCTGCTGTCCTACACCTCAAACAAAAAGGACAGAGTAGACAAAAGTATTTTACATCAAACATGACAGCTTTAAACTGAGGAAGACTCAGATTTAACCAGAGTTCACACCAGAATGTGACCAAAACATCTGTTGTGAGCTGGGCATATAAAGACCCTAATGACCCTCTGATGGGAGGGAAGTGAGGTTCAGACAAATACAAGGAATACACATTTTTGAGCCAAGCACACAGTCAGTGCAAACATTTGTTTACACATCTTATTATTGTGTAACAACAAAGGAAAAAAAATGTTGTCAGTTTTTAGTGTAATTAATTTAAAAAAAATATATATATATATATATATTCAGGACCTCATCTTGATGTTTCAGGACCCCACTGTGGGTCCCAACCCCAACTATGGGAACCACTGGTCTATATGACTCTTCCAGGGCCTTATAAACCTCTTCAAATAACAAAAAACTCCTGAAAGAGGGAAAACATTGTGCTGAAAAGAGTCTTTCTACCACAAAGTGTGGCGCTCTGTCCAGTAGTGATGGTCAATACTGCTAATTTTTCTTACCGATACTGATACCAAGTAAAATGTGTCTGGTATCGTCGATACTGATCCGATACTGATACTTTGTGATAACAAACATAATGTGTCTGTTAAATCTTAGAAACTAGTGTTTTCAAATAACCGCTTTACAAATAATACATGATATAGTAATTTATTTAAAAGTCTTTCTAACCCTACATTTATTTTTGCACAATTTTAAATTCTTATTCTAAAGAAATATAATAATTTTTGAATAGTGAATAAAAGTGACAAAAATATTCTAAAAGTTGTTACTTTGTATATTTTGTAGCATTGTTTGTGTGTTTGCAAGAAGGTCCCTGTCAGGAGCTAATGCTGTTTGGGGGCCATAGCATGAAAAAGTTTGGGACCCCCTCATCTAGAATGTAATTACAGTCAGTCAGCAGAAGCAGATTTTATGTTAAAATGACCTGCCATACTTCAGACTGAATGACTGACTGAACACATGCCACTGTGGTTATGTATTACTCAAGCGGAAGAAAAAGTAGTTCCCTCCGACCACATATGTTTTAGACAAGGTTGGAAAAGTTTAGTTATTTTCCATTATTTTCCTGTTAATGATAAACATTAACTACCCAAGT